AGCAATTGATGTGACAATGCCTACAACATCAGTCCTTATCAAATATGAGAGAATCATGTTTTAACAGTAAGAGAGAATAATTAAGTGTTGTATTTGAGTGTAATTTTTGATGTAGTCAGGGTGGTTATTATAGTAAGACAGGAGCGGTTTGTGGGGAAAATAAAGTTATTTAGGGTGTTTTCTGTTGCATTGCTTCATTTCTGCTCCTTCTCCAATATCCAACACAGTAGTTTGTCAGAGGAAGAGGTAAGCCATAAGAGCAGCTTCCTCTGCCACTCCCTTTTCCACATCGGAAACCTGCAGGATGGCAAGGGAGTGACTTAGTCAAATCTCATTCACAGATATTTGATTTTTCATTTATGCAGTGTTGCTGAACATGCCAAGCTGCAAGTTTTGGGGACTGAAACACCCTATGTCTGTAACCAGACCTTGTGCTCACTTTCATGCAGGGAATGATGTCTTGCAGCACCTATATTGTGAAAAGCTAGGGACTGAGCAGATTTCAGGGCTATGCTGGCAGGAAATTATCTGTAGCTTGGGATCTAATATATTGTGTTGCAGAGGGGGAGGAGGTGGAAATGAAGAAGGATGTTTAAGGTAATGTTTAGATAACAGCCTTCCTGAGTTGTCCAGTTTTTGGCAGAGATGGCTGTGTTCTCTCTTAAGGATGTGTCCATTCAATAGTTCATGGAAACAGAACCTCCTCCAAGTTATACAGGTGCCTTTCTGTAAGTATATTGTTTTAGTCTGACAGTGGACTTCAGGGGGTTTGGGAAAGATAGATTCACACCTAAGTGCTTTGGAGGTAAATGATAGATCCCAATGAGTTTTATTCTGCCAGCAGATTAAGGCTATCAAGACTTGTTTGTAAATAAGCAAAGTAAGTTAGAGGGGAAAAAACAGGCTTGATTTAATCAGGAGCAAGTACATTGTCCTCAGATTATGCAGGGAAAAGGTAAATCAACTTGGCAGTGCAACAGTCCATTTATATGCACGTAGGTGTGCTATACTGTGGGAAAATGATATGTCTGGGCACTGAAGCTGTCAGCACTCGTTCACCAGATTTTGTGCAGGGTGTGAAAATTTAAGAGGCTTTCATTTATCAGAATAGTTGAAATAGACTCTAATAATTTGAATACCTTCTTGTTGCAGAACACATTAAACTCTTAACGACCTGCAGACTGTGGCAAGGGTGGGCTTTTGTCCTCGCTCTCCATCACTTGGGGTTTTATCTCCACAATACATTGCTGTAAGGGTGTAGAAAAGACCTTTGCCTTCTTCTGAAGAGAAGGATCAGAGATAGGAGAGGGTACAGGAGCTGCTGAGAGCCAGTGTTAATGTTTTTCAAGAAACTGAAAATGAATTAACAATGAAGAACAGAAAAGCCTTGCAAGAGAGATGTCCAAGTTTGAGAGCTTTGTTTAAAACTGACTGCTTATTTTCAGTCAGAGGAGCAATTTAGCGATGCCTGAGGCACTGCAGCCCACTCAGTTGGTAACATAAAAGCAAAGTGGATGCCACAGCAGACTCTGCTAAAGGGAGGTGGGTATCAGCCCAGGCAGAAGTAAAGGAAGATGTGAGAAACTTACGTGCTGAGAAAACATGCCCTAAATCTAAGGACTAAGTGCCGTATAGAGCTGCACTTGCGGCTTGGTTGAGCTGCAGTTTTAGGTTCCTACACTAAAGTGTCCTGGGTTTGGTTGGGATAGAGTTAATTTCTTCCTAGTAGCTGTTACAGCATTTTGTTTTTGGTTCAGTATGAGAATAATGGTGATAACACACTGATGTTTTTACTTGTTGCTAAGTAGTGTTTCTGTAAGTCAAGGACTTACCAACTTCTTGTGCCATGCCAATGAGAAGGCTGAGGGGGCATAAGAAGTTTGGAGTGGACACAGCCTCTCAGAACTGGCCCCAACTGACCCAAGGGATGTCCCACATCATATGGCGTCATGCTCACTCAGCATATAAAGCTGGGGGAAGAAGGAAAGAAAGGAGGGAACATTCAGAGGGATGGCATTTGTCTTCCCAAGTCACATGTGGTGGAACTCTGCTTTCCTGAGGATTTAATTCCTTTTTTGCTTTGCTTGTGCATGACTTTTGCTTTACTTATTAAACTCAACCCACAAGTTTTCACTCTTATACTCTTCTGATTTTCTGCCCCATCCTGGAGGGGAGAGTGAGTGAGCAGCTGGCAGGGGCCGAGTTGATGGCTGGGGTTAAATCACTGCACAAGTTTTTACTGTAAAGTCACCCTGTGTTATAATATCTTAAAACTGGAATCCTTTGTTTGACTTGCTGCCTGTTTAAGTCGTGAATCACTGTTTCTTCTGGTCGTTAGTGAAACAAAACTTAATTTGGCCTGGGCACTGTAGAGATGAAACATGATTGGTAGTGCTGTATACATTCACTTCAGATGACTTTGTAAATCCCAGATGAAATCATTTTGCATCGTTCCAGGCAAGGCAGAGTGCAGCATGTGCTCTGTAACGAGTCAGCGTTGCTGGAGGCCTTGTTGGAGGCCCTGTATAACCTCATCTGAAAAAGTATGATTTCATGAGAGCTGATGAACTGTGGATTTTAGCTGTTTGTTATCTCAGCTCATTAATTTATTGTTTCTTGATTATGCTCACCGTGAAGAGTTTTAGAAAGTTCTTCCCCCCAAAATCCAGTTATTGCTAGGTGATGACTTCTCTCATCTCCCATTCTCTGAGAGGAGAGATGTGTAATGAGTTCTTAAACTTGAACTGAAACCACATAAATATTTAACTTTAAAAAAGACATTTTTCCTTTGAGTTATTAGCAAACCCAGGCATTCACTGAACTGAATTGATGACTGAATTTTCAATTACTTAGTAACCCTTTCCTTTCAGCTGTGCTGTCCTTAACGTCTTACGAGATAGAAAGGATGGGGTTTTGTTGGTGGTCTTAAGCATAAAGCAGCAGTGTTAGAGACACAGGAAATACAATTATTTCTTTTCCTGTCTTTTAAACTAACCCTTTCTTCTGTCTTTTAAATCCAAATTATCCATATTTTGGTTTTTATTTCCATGATACAGTGACACTTCTGTTGCAGAACAATGTGAAATGTTGAGAACCACTAGTTTTCTGTGTCAAGCTGAACATGTCCTGAAGAGTTAAATTTTTGGTTCTTTTCTGGAGAGCTCTGGGCCTGAAGTGCAGTGTTTTTAATAGAGATTACACAAGCAATATGCCAAGATGACAGTTAGTGGCAGTATTAACTGGATTTGTGGCATAGTCCTTCACATTTGGTAGGCAGAGAAAATGCAGAGAGGCAGATAAGTTGGAGAACCACTGTTACCAGGGATCTGTTGCTGCAGCCCTACTGGGGGGTCCATGGACAGTCCCCAGCCCTGCTCCAGCAGAGTGAGACATCCACAATGCTATGCAGGTTTTGAGTTTGGAGGTTCTGAGGCAAGCTGGAAGGAATTTTAGAAGGAGTCTGTCTGTGGTGTGGAAGACCCAGTGAGGCAAAAAGGATGGTAAATGTTTCATGTCAATAAAATAACCTGTTGAGCATGAAACTTGGGTGG